CGCGCGAATATTTTATTATTTCTTTGTTTATCATATAATGATTGTTGTTCATGTTACATACAAACAAAACAGTTGGCGCAGATGGTAGTGGGTTATGTGCAAAACGCATCAGGACCTGGGTTCGAATCCCAGGTCCCCCAAATATTTCATGTATTTTGCCTTTTCAGGATTCAGTGCATACGCAGGCCAAGGGTCTATCATGTGACCTCCAGATCCAGTCTGCCAAGTGACCAGATGGCCAAATCTGATGGCCATCCAGGAGGGAACACCACAAGCCAAGTCAAACGCGTAGCATAGGATCTCACAAGTCAACGTGGGCTTCAGATTGTTGCCAAAAAATGCTTCTCACACCCCCAAAGCTGCTAAACTCAGGCCCAATTTCTTTCTTTATTCTTTTTTTTTAATTTCATTTAATTTATTTTATTCATTTACTAACCAATTAAATTATTTTCTTTTTCATCAAAAAATCACAAAAAATATTACTTTCATAAATTAGGTCTAGATTTTATTTTTATTTAAAAAAATTAATTGATTTAATTAGGTGTTAATTTAGATAACTTTAATTTCTTTTTTTGTACATAATTAAAAATAACTAGAAAAATTAGTTTTTTATTCCAAATTTAATTTTTCTTTCTTTTCTTAAAAATAACCAAAACCTAAAAATAGGTCATGTAATTATTTTTATTAATTAATTTAATCACTAATTGATTTGTACATTTAATTTTAAAACCTAAATTCTTTTCTTGAAAAAATATTAAAAACAACAAAAACATTTTCTCTTTTAATTAGGATAGAAGGGTCAAAACCCTAGTTCGCATTCGTTCTTAATTTTTCTCGCGCGCTTTATTTTATTATTTACCATATTATTGTAACTGCTCACAAGGTTGTAATAGTTTAAATTATGACTTTATTTTCATTTACCTCTTTACTTTTCAAGGGTTTGTTTTTGGCTATGTAAATACCCGAAGCCTTGTAATAGCGTAGTTTAATTTCCGCATTTTAAATTCCGCAAATATTTAATTGTTAGATGTATGACATTAGGATGCATGACAAAAATGTATGTTTAAGTTTAAAACAATTAGACAACCCTAAACATGTGCAAAGATAAATAATCTGAAATCGAATCACTCGCACATGCGCACTCCTAGGGTACACTCCCACTTGGTTGCCTTCGGTAAACAATCATTGAGTATAGGATGCTTTAGTGGTCGTCCTTTTGTCCAAAGATCAAAGTTGTCTCGGAATGGTTGCCTCGGAATGGTTGCCTCGGATATTGTTGCCTCGGATAATTGATCTAAGACATTAGGGTTATTACTAAAACGTCCTAACATTACTTTAGTGACCGTACGTCCCTTTCGAATTAACCCTAAAAACTCCAACGACAGTGCTACCTACTCACTACTAGTGGGATAACGTTGTCTAAAGGAAACGAATACAAAACGATTCATTTTTTTTAGTAGGTAAATTAGTTCTTAAGTACTTGCTTAATCCAAACAAACTTTTTTCACACTTACACTCCTTTACAAACAAGTTTTCAAAAACACTTCATTACACTCTTGAAGACAGAAGCAAGAGTTAAATCGAAGTCAAAACAAAAGCTTTTCAAATCACACAAACACAAAGAAAACAATTTTGAAAATGATGAGCAAGTACCTAAGAGCCCGTAGATAACTACGGATAGAAAGGGTGCTAATACCTTCCCTTTCTATAATCTACCCCCCGTACTCAGAAATATCTCGAAGAAGGAATTTTTCTGTGCTTTTTTCCTTTTCTTGTTGGATAAAATAAAAGTCGGTGGCGACACTCTTGCTTACCGCGACATTTTGCAAACACAAACGTAAACCAACAATTCCTTAAAAAAGGGAAACACGTCTCGGTTCTGGCCTCCGTATCACACCAACAAAGAAATTAAAGGAAATAGTTCCTATTCAGAAGTGGACTGGAGATAACCAAAGTGTTAGTCATCTGAAGTTATTTGGTTCTGTATGTTACAAACATGTCCCAGAAGCCAGAAGACAGAAGCTGGATGATAGAAGTAAAGTGATGTTACTGGTGGGGTATCATAGTACAAGTTCGTATAAACTTTATTGTCCAGAAAATAACAAAGTTGAGTTCAACAGAGACGTCATTATAGAGGAATCAGAAGTTTGGAATTGGGAAAAGTCTCGTCCTGACTCTGATGATAGAACTTCTGAAGAAAGGTCAGAAATACATGTTTCTGAAGCTAGTAAAGACGCTGACTCTGAAAAAGATACAGAAGGAGAAGATGGTTCTGACTCTGACTCCGATGGTGATCCAGACTCTGAAGATAGTTAAGGTTCTGGAGAAAGTCCAATTTCTGAAGCAAGTGCTTCTGAAGGGGAAAGTTATGGTGTCCAAAGTTCTGAAGGTCCAGTTCAGAGGCAACAAAGAGTTAGAAGCATCCCAAGAAGATTTGCAGAGTTTGACATGTTGCTAGACACTGAACTAAACTCTGAAGGAGAATTTATTCAGTGTGCAATGTTAGTAGTCTCTCAACCCGTGAGTACGAAAGAGGCTCTTAAGCACCAAGTTTGGTTACAGGCCATGAAAGAAGAACTTGATGCTATATAGAGAAACAAGACTTGGAAGCTGACATAACTTCCAAAAGGCAAGAAAGCCATTAACGTCATATGGGTTTTCAAGAAGAAGATACAGCCAGATGGATCAATTGGAAAACATAAAGCAAGATTAGTAGCAAGAGACTTCCTACAGAAGCCTGGGCTGGATTACTTTGAAGTGTTTGCACTTATAGCGAGACATGAAACAATCCGACTAGTGATTGCAATAGCTGCTAACAGGAATTAGCCTTTGATGCATTTAGATGTAAAATCTGCATTTTTGAATGGTCTATTACAAGAAGAGATGTACGTTTCACAACCTCCTGGATTTGAGAAAAAGAATCAGGAAGGGATGGTGTTCAAATTACACAAAGCATTGTATGGATTGAAGCAAGCGCCCAGAGCTTGGAACTTGAAGATTGATTCGTTTTTCAAGGAACAAGAGTTTCAGAAGTGTGAGATGGAGTATGGTGTTTATGTTCAGCATACTTCAGAAGGTAATATGATTCTGGTCTGTTTGTATGTTGATGACATATTACTCACAGGAAGTTCTGAACAAGAGATAACTGAGTTCAAGAAAGTTCTAATGAATGCGTTTGAGATGACAGATCTTGGAAAAATGAGTTTCTTTCTAGGGATGAAATTTATATACTCTGAGAAAGAAATCAGTTTACATCAGATGAAGTATGAACTAGAATTTATGAAGAGATTTGAGCTAGAAAATTACAAGGTTGCTGTCACACCTACTCATACGAATCAGAAGTTGGATTTTGATTCTGATGGAGAGGATGTGGATGCTACAACCTTCAAACAGATGGTTGGTTCTCTAAGTATTTATGTAATACCAGACCTGATATTTGCTATGCAGTTGGAATGGTTAGCAGATTTATGAGCAAACCAAAGTGGTCCCATTATCAAGTTGCAGTCAAGATTTTGAGGTATGTGAAGGGAACTCTGAAATATGGAGTGTTATTTCCGTCTGGAAGAAAGATATAATTAGAACTTCTGAGTTATTCTGATTCTGATAGGTGTAGAGATAAAGTTGACAGAAGAAGTACTTATGGGTACTTATTCAAATTTTTGGGAGGTCTTATTTCTTGGTGTTCAAAGAAGAAACCTGTCGTTGCTCTGTCAACCTGTGAAGCTGAATATATTGCAGGTGCTCTGACTGCATGTCAAGCTGTGTGGATTCTGAACTTGCTGAAAGATCTAAAGATTGAGGTGAATAAACCTCTGAAGCTGATGATTGATAACAAGTCTGTAATCAATCTTGCCAAGAATCTAGTGTTGCATGGGAGAAGCAAGCATATTGAGACCAAGTATCATTTTCTGAGGAATCAAGTTCAGAATAGAATAATAGAGGTTGTGCACTGTAGCACTCAGAAGCAGCTGGCAGATGTTCTGACAAAGGCTATCAAAACTGATCAATTTCTTGGTTTAAGGGATGGAATTGGTGTTGTCAGTTTTGAGTAAATATAAATTAAGGGATGGTGTTAGAATTAATTTAGATTTAATTAGATATTAGTTTATATTTAGGAATATCTTTTAGATTGTTTATATCTTTAAGATATATATCTTAGATCTTCTTATATCTTTGTAGAAGATATATTTTAGATTTAATTTGTGTGTATAAATAGCCTAGTGGAGTATATTATTGTAACTTATTGTAAATTCTTATTTTTGAAGCTATCAGTAAATATTCCTTTTGCCATTTATCTTCCTCGTGCTCTAACAAAAATGCCATCCACTAAAATCGAAATGAGAAATTTAAATCTCAAATGAAAATTAAAAGAAAAATGCCATTAAATCGAAAAATATGAAAACGATTAAACTGTAAATTAATGGTGTATACCACAAAAGTCTTACGTAATGCTTGGGTCTAGTTAACCATTGAAGCACTCTTTTACTCACTTGGCATAATAGCCCAAGTAGCAATACATGCAAGTTAACAACACTTATCATGGAATATGAAGATTTAAGAAATAAGCCATATCTATAAAGAAAATGTGCATCAAGGGCTATAGAACTGGCATAATTAAAGAATGCTAAATACATGATCACAAAAAGTACTTGATCAAAAGAATTTGACACAATACCTACCTATATAAGCTTAAAGATAACACTTACCAGAATCAGTAGGTAACATATCAAGTATATTGCACATGTATATTTTAATAAAGAAAGCAGAAAAGGTTTAAGTTCTCCATTTTGATTTAGTTGAATGTACTCTTAACCAAACTTCAGGCCTGAAAGGACTACTGCCTTTTATTAGATCATGCTGTTACCTGAACTCTTCAAGAACAAAAGTCACATTTGCATAGAAGTATGATATATGCAAAAGAGAATATAATTAACATGTGCTTTTGCTGTCATCGAAATTCGCAGTTTAGACTTTATCCTTCAATTTATGCAAAATGAACTCTATCCATGATTGTCCATCACTGCAAAACTGACATGGGAAAGTACTACTGCAAATAAAACTCTAGACCAATGGAACATTAACTTATTTTCACTTGAAGAAAATATAAATACATACATAAATACAAAAGAATACATGGATTAACATTGTTTTTAGAAAGAAAAGCATTTGCTGAAAGATGCACACTGAAGCCAAATATTTATTAATATAGATTTCCAGAAAGATATTTTTACATAATTGCAGAATTTCATAAAGCCAAGTCTAGCAGAAGATGCTCATCACAGAAGAAATATTACATTCAAATCACAAAGGATTTGACATTTTAAAGGAACAAAACAATGCAATGCATGAAACTGGTATTGTAAATACATTTTACATGTCGAGTTTCATTGAAATCACTCATTTGATATGAAATTATCGATAATGAATAGATCATTCATACCGATATAGGCAAAGAGGACACAATAAACAGCTGCTACTATTGACAATGGGATTGCAGCAACCACTGCTCCAAACTTGCCTGAAATTGTCCAATACAATTGCACGAAAAGTGTTTCACCAGAATGCTCAGAAATGCGCAGGAAGGGACAAAATTGAAATGTAATACCAAATACAGATAAGAAAAGCATGAATCTGGTTGATAGTTGAATGACTCTCTGACTTCCAACTCGTGTTAGGCCTAACAAACCTGCATTTTAGCTTAAGACCAAGAAAAGGAAAGACGATTAGAAAACCCTTGTCCGTGAAACAGAAAATTGGGGGTGAAATTGAGAGAGGGGAATAGAAACAAACCTTAAGAAAGTGGTAGATGTGTTTGCAATTTGAATAGATGAATCTACTATCTCTGAACTGTGTCATCTTCATCATCATCCTTCAAACCTCCATCTTCTTCATACTCCATTTGCAGTGACTTATAATCCCCAATCATCATCAAGGTTCTTCAATCACAACATCACGCACACATCAACAATCATCAATCAACCGAACACGAAATTAAGAAGGAAAACTGAACTGAAGTAGAGATCGCGAGCGAAAGAGACTGAGTCATTGAGAGTGACGCTCGTCGGAGAAGAAGGGGAATCAGACTTTGATGAAACAGACAGGGAGTCATTGATGGAGTGTGCAGAGCCGAAGTCAAATGAGGATGAATTGTATGGCCATGGCAGTTTAAGAAGGAAATCAACGATTGCTTTCCACGAAGTGAAGAACGATCGTCGCTGTGTGAAAGAGAAGAGAAGGAATTTGATTTCACGAGAAACCCAAAGGATAAAAATTTGCAACTCTGATTTTGGCTTGAGCACAACATCGTGATGCATCCTTTCCACTAGACAACCGTTTAAAATTAACACATTGATTATGGAAACAGTTACAAAACAGATAATGAATAGGGGAAGTTGGAGAGGGAGGTTAAAAGAAGGTGGAGAGGGAGATTACAACATGAAATCGTAGAAGAATTTTTTAAATTGAAACATATGTTTTTGGACCAAAAGAATAAAGCAGAGTTTTTGAGTAGATTATTTTTTTTTATATTATAGATAATAAAAATTAAAGGGTTAAATATGTTTTTGGTCCCTATAAATATCTCAAATTTCATTTTTGGTCCTTATTAAAAAATGACACGTTTTAGTCCTTACAAAATTATTATGCATGTAGTTTTAGTCTCTGCTGTTAAACCAATTTAGAACGTTATAAAAAGTTCTTCAGAAAAAAAGAAACTAAAAATTTGATTTCTAAGTTGAGATTTTTATTACTTTTATCAATATCTTTTGAAATTAAACAAATTCATATTTAATTCTTCTAAGTTTAAAAAATTCTAAAATTTGATAAAGAAACATTTTATAGTATTCTAAACACATATGAAAAGTATTATTTAAAAATTTAAAATTTTAAGAGTAATTAATTTTTTTTTTAAATTGTAGAAAATAACATAGACTAAAGTTACATGAACAAAAATTTAATAGAGATCAAAATTTATCATTTTTTTAATAGGAACTAAAAATAAAATTTAAAATACTTATAGAAATAAAAACACATTTTATAGTATTCTAAACACATATGAAAAGTATTATTTAAAATTTTAAGAGTAATTAATTTTTTTTTTAAATTGTAGAAAATAACATAGACTAAAGTTACATGAACAAAAATTTAATAGAGATCAGAATTTATATTTTTTTAATAGAAATTAAAAATAAAATTTAAAATACTTATAGAAATCAAAAACATATTTAACCCAAAAAAATTAAATTATTTTCATACAGATCTTATATTATTATTTTTACTTACAAACATTGTTTTCTAGTTCCACATCAACTAGTTTATTTCTTATAAACTTCGCACATGATCACCCACTCAAAAATTTGTTGTTGTGAAAGAATCTTTTTTTAATAAGTGGAAAAAAAACAAAGAGATGGATCTGTCTCGTGTTTACGTCAAAGCAGACAAGTGCATGAACAGGTTATTTACTGTGTGACATTTTGTGCTGACATTGCGACGAAACTTTCACTCTGTTCTCCTTCACGCTCACTCCCTAGCTTATGATTCTCTCTCCTAGGCTTAAATTATTTATTGTGTTAAATAAAAATATTATATCTGGTTCTTAATATAAAAAAAAATTATTTTTAATTATTAAAGAATCAATGTATGTATAGTACATATAGTTCAAATACTATATTAATTTTTCTATAAATCCAAAAAATATATTTTTTTTTATTTATATTAAGAACCAAAAGAAGTATATGGTAATGGTTTTGATTTTTCTCAATAAGTTTTTAATTGATCACTTTTGTAAAATACTAAGGGTTTGTTTGAATTGACCGTTGACATAATTGATTGTAACAGAATTGAGTTTGATAGAATTGATTTGAACATAATTGAGTTTAACATGTTTTGATATATTTATGTAAAAGTTAGTTGAACAATAAACTTCAGTATAAAAATCATCTAGAATCAATTCTGGAGGCAGAAGCTACAAATTGTAGCTTCAAATAGAATTAATTCTGAAGGCATAATCAATTCTACTTTTGATAAATCAACATCACTACAAATAACGTTTCTAATCTCGGACGCGAAATGCGTTTTACCTCAGCAAAAGAAGCGATGTAACTAAGGTCGTCATAAAAAATAAAGACTTATCACCTCAGTGTTTAAAACATCGATGTATAATTTTATTAGCGCATGAGTTCGAACCCCCAACATCTACACTTTTATTATTTACAACACTAACGCCTTTATTATCTCGATTTATCAAGAAAACTGAAGGGTAATTAGATTATTTTTTAAAATAAAACTCGTTACATTGTTTACACAGAAAATTAATAAAATAATTAGTTTACAAACTAATATGTCCATGAAGATCATATGTTGGATCTTCAATTCCTTGATATTCTGGGCAAGATCAAATGCTGAGAAACTCATCATAGAGAGACGCTTCATAGCAAACACTCTTGCAAATCTTATAGTGGATGATACTTTTAAGCGTTTTATGATGTTACATTATCAATTTTTGATAATCAAAATCTTTTTATAAGGAAAGTTATTTATGTTTCACGCGAATCGCTAATGATAATGTCTTGAACATTGATAGTCATGAAATGGACGACAAATATTTGATTAAGGACGATGCTAAATATCCTCTATTTTAACGCTAAATGTTCCCTTAGTTTTTAGGAAAATCGCGAGTTAGAACATTTAATTTACAAATAAAAAATACAATTACAAGAGAGGTTCCAGTTTTGTTTTCCCCTTGTTTACGATAAAATTCGAGGTAATATGTTGTTTTTACAAAGCTAATTCAAACATGTCGCGCATGGATTAGAATTATATCACTAGAATAGCAACAATCAACTATATTCAAGTTGTAACGTCTCTTTTGGATTTTCAAGGAGGCTTTTGAGTTATTTAAACATCTATTTACAAACTCGTTGTGTCTTCAAACATTGTTTTAAAGTATTTTCCTATTTTCAACGCCTCATTACCAACTCTCTATGTCTTGTTTCCTTGTTTCAAAGTCCTTTTTTTCTTATTCAAAAATGGATACAAATTTGTTGTTCGTTATAAATGAAAAGTGTGTTGATTTCAATGATTTTGATCGCTTTAAACTAAGGCAAATTATTAACAAACAAAGGTTAAATGGTTACTTTCACATTATACATGACTCCGTATACACTAATCTCGTTAAAGAGTTTTGGATGAACGCCTCCATTGTGCCAGCTGGTCATGATGAAATCATCAAGTCCTATGTCAATGGCTTTTATTTCTTCATTACCCCATCACTGATTTCTATAACAATCAATTGTGAAGAGTTCTGTAGTTGCGCTGAACATTACGAATTCAACAATCTCTACTCAACCCGCCTTCACTGAATTTATGCCAACCAAGATAAGCTTGTCAGTCCTGCTTCTCTACTCTCAAATGTAAAATTTCGATTTAAATTTCTAGTGGCAAATCTCTGCCCAAGAGAGAAACAACCGGAAATGCTTATTTGGTATGACAAACATCTCTTGATATTCCTCACCAACAATATCAGAGTTAATCTTCCTCTTACCATTTTCAACTTCTTGAAGGAAATGATAAAGATTTTTTGGGAGAAAATGACTTCCTCATACCTTATGGAAGAGTTCTTTTTGAACGTTTCTCTAAGTTAGGGATGGTTGGCAGTAATATTGAAGTTGAGTGGACTGAGAAGTTTGAATTTGTGGAATAATTTTCTCTGTTTTGTTGTTTTTTATTATCAATGATATATTTCTTTTTTTTATTATTCTATATTCTTGTTTATTGATAACAAAGTTTTTTAGAATTACTAATTAACAAAGAAAAATATGGCATCTGGAAAAGACGCCAAGTGATAAATCATTTAAAAAAATTTTAAATGCGGTAACGGAGATTCGAAGCGAGGTTCTTTATAGCTATATTACATCAGCTCTTAAAAAAACCGAGATAACAGGTTTTTTTTATGGATAAAACATGGTGCTAACTTATAGCTGTGTTACCTCAGGTTTTTATAACACCGAGGTAACATGTTATTTATCTTATTAAAAAAATTAAACATTACGCTCTCAGGATATATACTCTCAGTTTTGAGCAAGTTGGAGATGAAAACTTCATCATAAAAAGCGTTATTTGTTGTAGTGCAAATACCTCAAAATCACCCAAAATCAATTCTACGTCTCTAGAATTGATTTTGAAACTTGTAAAAGTCAATTCAAATATACACTAACTGTTATTTGAATTTATCTTCAATTAAATAAATTATAGTCTAATGTTTGGTAGTATTTTTTTTAAATCACTCTTGTGAAAATAAGCGGTCGGATTCAAGTACTTAATATACCTAAGTTGAGATTAAGTTAATTGAGTATTATTTTATTGAGCTTTATATCCAATCATTTCTTATATTATTTAGTTATATCATTTTTTGTTTTCACCATCAATTTAGTTTGGTTCAGGATCAGTTCTAACATCAAGTGGTTTCAACCCTCTCTCGATCGCAGTTGTGGGGGATCAAATTGTGGTTCTCTCTATCAAGTCCAGTGTCAATCACCACTGGACCAATTAGTTATATCCTTTAGTATATTAAAGATTTTACTTTAATTTAAATAATATATGAGAAATAGAGAATTGTTAATGTTAAGAGTCTCACATTAGACAATATATAGAATGAACATGTTCTTATAATTGGAGATAATTCTTACCTTACAAGTCGGATTTTGTAGGGTTAAATTAGGTCAAAATCACATTTTTAACATGATATCAAGAGTCTCGTTTAAGATCCGGTGGACCGACTACTTTCATGTTTCTGCTATCGGACCACTCACCATTTATTTTAACGCTTTAGATGTCCAGTTATGAGCGTGAGAGATGTGTTAAGAGTCACACATTGGATAATATATGGTCTAATCATATCCTTATAAGTAAGGGTGCCCTCACCCTACAAGTGGATTTTGTAGGATTGAGATAGGCCAAAACCACATTTCTTAACAACTAACATAAAAAACATTTGCTTATTTTTTTACTTGTTAAAAAAGTACAATGAGAGTAGTCATGTCCTTGTAGGATTTTGTGTCTTTTAGGTGTCTAGACATATTGAGAGCTTACTAACTTAGGGTTTTGGAAAGCTATGATTATAGTTTTTTCTAGATAAGTTAGAGATTTCATTCTTAGTCTTAAGACTAAAGTATTTATAGTGGCTCCGTGGGTCCCTGGGCTAGAGAGCAGCTACCAACTCCCTATAAAAAACATGGAGAGAAAATACTTGTTCTCTTTGGTGTAAGAACAAAATTTGGTTATGAATTTAGCCTTTAGTTTCGATGATAAAATATATATTTTTTAGAGAACAATTTTGTACCTTAATGGTTTGGTCTAGTGTATAGATTTTACTAACAAGCCCTGACTCTGAAGAAGTGTTGTGTGACATCATCAACTTCTAAACTCAACACACTCTGACTCTAGAGAGATACAAATGTGCGCTTTACAAAGATCTAATCAAGTTCTGGAACGCTTCTAAACAACGGTTCTGAAGAATGTTTATCTTAAAGCTTCTGCTTGTGACTCTGATATAAGAGTTTTTGAAGATATCAAGCTCTAGAGATTTTGTGCTCTCAAGTTCTGACATTTTGAAGAACAAGTTCTGAAGACTCTGAAGACGTGGTTATGAAGACTCTGAAGACAAGGTTCTGAAGACTCTGAATACAAGGTTCTGAAGACTCTCTTTCTGCTTTTTATCCTTCTAAACATGCTTCATCAACACACATCCTGAAGCCTCTGAAGATTAGAAGATAAGATCAAAAAGGTCTTACGTGAGTGAATAGTACCTGGTACAAGATCAAATATTCTCTCCACTAAACTGATTTCGTGGCGCAAGAACAGTACTATGGTACGATGTTTTCTACCACTCTCACTGAACATTATGAAATAATACAACTGGAATTTTGGTTTCCTATTCTATCCTCCAACAGATCTTTCTATACCTATACAAGAAGCCCTTGGAAGAATGGAAATAAGAACTTTTGAACAACAACTCTTCACGCGAACGTTTGCACAACAATATTTCATATTTGTGAGAAAAGTTGTAAAGCAAGAAACTTTTATTCATATACTTTCTCAAAATACTTTTGTGTTAATCATTGTATTTCAATTTGTGCAATATGCTTTCATAAAGGCATCTTTGTAAACACACCTTTTGTATCTCAACTTGTGAGTTGATTATTCCTTGAGATAGTAGGATATAATGTAAGTTAGAATTTCGCTTGGAAGGTTGTGTAAGTTAGAATTTTTCTGACAGATGTCACATCTTTTGACAAATTATGCACCATCCTTCATCAAAGTGGGCCGATAATAACTCGTCATGAGCAGTTTGTGAGAAAAAGCTCACCCATATATATATGACTACCACATGTTCCTCGGTGGACCTCTATAAGAACCAATGTGATTTCATTCTCCCATAGACATCTTACCAATGGGGAGACATTTCCCATCTTATAGAGCTTCCCAATCATCATAGTGTGTTTTGTTGTGTATTTTTGTAAGTTCTTTGACTCTAGCTTGTCTGATGGGAGTTTGTTTGACATCAACTAGCTTATTATGGGTGTCATCCAACTTTTGGGTTCAATAACTTTTGGTTAACTTTGTTTCAATATTGGGGCGCCTAGAGTTTCTCGTATGATGGTCTGGTTATATCTTGATTTCTTGGTGTTGGCGAGCTTTAAGAGGAGATAAACTCTAGAGTTTTGTTCCCTGAGCATATATGTTATCTTAACAGTTTTGAAATATTCAGATAATTCACGTAGCTTTTTTAGATATTTGATCATTTGGGTTTCCTTCGCCTGTTACTTCATACAATCTGATTCACCAACAATTATGAGTCGCTCCTAGCCTTGAGATGAAAGACCCATTTTTATGGCGAGACCCATACCGGAGATGATGGCCTAATACTTAGCTTGGTTGTTGGCTTTAAACTTAAATTTTAAGGAATGTTCTATCAGGAGGTCATCTAGTCCCTTTAGCACTATTCTAACATCACTTCCATTCAAGTTTTAAGTGCCTTCCATTAATAGTATCCATACGTGGGGAGCCTCTTAGCTCAATAGCAAGCTAAACTCTGCCAAGAAGTAGGCTAACATTAGCAACTTGAGGCGCCCTCTGGTTATATATTAAATACCATATTCAGATAATTGCATTGACTAGGACATCATCCTTCACGCGAGATTTGAATTCTTCAAAACTTGGAAATTATGATAATTGGTTCTCACCATTACACGATCGTTAAGACCAGTCTCTCGATCTTATGGTACCTGGCCTTGTAGTTATCACGACTGTTAGGAACATTCTCTCGATCTTATGGTACCTGGCCTTGGCGCCATTAAACACCATGCTCACGAAATAGACGAGCTGCTCAACTATGTTCTTCACTTGGACGAGCATAGAGCTCATCATTTGATCAGTGATTAACAAATGCACATAAATGGGCGTGCCAACTTTTAGACGTGTCAGAATGGGCAACGTCTCCAAAAATACCTTCCAATTAATGAATGCCTCCTTGCATTTGCTCGTCTGTTAGAATTTGTCCTTTTTCAAAGTGGCTAAGAAATGAAACACATTGTCACCTGCACAAGAAAGAAAGCGGGTTAGGGAGGCTAAGCGCCTTGTTATTTATTGAACCTCCTTAATGTTGGAGGGGCTTCCGATGTTGATGATGGTCTGACACTTGTTTGGGTTTACCACTATCCCTCTTGTAGTTAGCATAAATCCTAGGAATTTACACGTCTGAACACCGAGTGAGCACTTGGAGGAGTTTAAGATCATGTTATGTCTCCTGACTGACTCTAGAATGTCTTCCAAGTATGCACAATGAGTTCCCCCTTTTGAGGTCTTCATAATCATATCATCGATGTAGACCTCCAAGTTTCACCCTATCTACTTTGAGAAAATTGTATACATTAATCTTTGGCAGGTGGCACATGCGTTCTTCAACTCAAAAAGCATGAAATTGTAGTAATTATTGTCATGGTTGGACATGAACTCCGTTTTGAGCGCGTCCATAAGATCCATCTTTATCTGACAATAGCCAGAGTAAGCGTCCATAAAGCTCAATGTTTTGTATCCTGAGGAATCACCTAATGAATATTGGGTAGTGAGTATGGATCCTTAGGGTACGAGGAGTTCAAGTTAGTGAAATTGTCACACATTTGTCATTTGTTCGATGACTTCCAAACCAAAATCACATTAGCCATCCATGTCAGATACTTGACCTTAATTAAAAAGCATGCACTCTTCAATTTCTCAACGTCCTCATCAATTGTCATCTACTTTCCTCGTTCACTTTGGGCTTTCTCATAAACACTAGTATCATAATTGAGTCAATGGAGAGGCGATGACATAACACCTTGGCGTCTATTCATGACATGTTAGTGGTCGTTTAGGAGAACAAGTCGACATTTTCCCTCAGTATGGCGACCAATTCTTCTTCCACTGCTTCAGATAGAGAGGTGCCCAATTTAAGGACTTGAAAATCTCGTGGCCCAATCTGGACCTCTTTTAGGTCCTATGTGAAAGTGGGCATTTCATTGTATGTCTCTATTTAGGGATCTAGGTTTGCAGCATTCACTTCATGTGCGTCTGGCTGTGGAATGGCAAAGACAACCATCCCCACTATTCTCATTGTGATGACGCTTTAATAACATTTTTGAGTGATCGATTGGTCGCCTTGGACAACTCCAACCTGCTATTCAGGTAAAAGATACTTCATGCTTAAGTATAGAGTGGATATGACAATCCCTCGCAAATTAAGGGTTGGCCACTCCACAATGATGTTGTTCGATGATGCAGTGTCTACTTCGAAATATCTGATCTTAAATGTCTCTACATTCTCGCTTAAGCCGAATATTGTCTTAAGTTATGTGGCCCTCACCTATACATGCTCCCTAAAGAGCCCGATCAAGAAGCCTTAAAATGTCTAGATGTTATCTGAATCAAATCAGAGTCTCTAAAAAAATATTTTAGAAAAAGATGTTCGTTGAGTTTTTAGGGTCAACCAGTACCCACTTTACGTCTTAATTGACGTATTATACTATGCTATTGTTATGAAGAAAGATGCTTATAAAATCATATTTATTTTAACTTTCTAAAAATTAGATTTTTTATATATTTAAAAATTATATATTTTTATAAAACTTAAAAGTTTTTTAAAATTATCTTTTATAAATTAAAAGATTAATTTTGACTTCAATAAAACAAATCTACATTATTGAATATTAAACGTAGTCAAAAAAACCATAATTTTTAAAAAAGATATTTCTTAAAAGTAATTTTTACAAAAAGTTATTCAAAATACTTTTAAAATTAAAACTAAGTGATTTTTTGAAAAAAATTTAACATTAAAAAATGATTTAATATTTTTTTCTTGAATATTAACTTTATGTTCTTTTTGGTATTTAACTTAAAAAATATTTATATTAATCCTTTAACTCTTCTTTATTTAATTATTAAAGAAAAAAAAAATTCAAAAATCAACCCTAAATTAATTAATAATTTATTGTATATTTTAAAAATTTATGAGATCAATATATATTTTTATAATTAAAAAACTAAAATAACTTCGAAATTAACGACATGGTCAAAAAGAGTTTTAAAACAAAATAATAAAATAATAAAATTTTCAAATATTCAAATAATATTTTAGAAAAATATTTAAAATAATAATAAATTATTTTTTAAATAGTTTATAATCTATATAAATCATATTAAAAAAAATGAACAATGAATCTAAATCTTAATAAATAAAATCACTTTTCTAGTTTTCTATAAAAAAAACGCGTAAAAAAAAAAGAAAAAGAAAAAGTGAAAACAAGACAGCTCTAAAAAAAAAAAAAGTTAAAACGACTCAGCAGTATATAATGCAGTAAATATATATATATTCCATCATATCTAAAAAAAAAAATGTAAGGTAAAAATAGACACTAGTAGCAATACGTTGACCGTACACAAAAAACTTTTTCTTCACTATCTCTTGTTAAGAACTCAGAATCTCTGCGCCTCATTTTCTTCGGATTCTATTTTTCCTCACAAATTTACACACACTTCATAAACTCTAGCACAGTTTTACACTCAGCTTTTTTATTTTTCTTTATTTCTGTTATTCTTCTTTCAAGCATTTCAACAAACAGATTAAGCTTCTACTTTGTATACTTTGATATTTCTTAAAATGGTTGATACTCGCCGCCGACGATGATGATCTCCGGCGAATCTCACCGACACATGCCGCATTTCACGGCGAGCATTGCTCCTAACTGCTCTCCCGATTCAGATCTTCGACCTCATTGGAAAACCTCGCGTAAGAAGTTTAAGACGCAGGGGAATCGTGTGAGGCGAAGCGGTTCGTCGACGGGGAGACGGAGCAGGCCTGAATCTCCTCTTTCGAGGTCGAAGATCTTTAAAGTTGGAGAAGAGACGAGTGTCGGTGATCCACTGGAGGAGGTTTACCGGAAAAGAGAGAAGCTGACCGTGGCAGTGTCGGCGAGGAAGCTCGCGGCTGGACTTTGGCGGATGCAGCTGCCGGACGTTGCGGTGGCAGGTGATTGTGGAACTCAAGGTGGTTTGAGACTTCAGGTAATTAAACTCTCTTTTGTTGAAGCTTTTTTCAATTAATTTCTTCTTGCATTTTCTATATCTGTTTGAAGTTTTAGTTTTAATTGAAATTTGTGTTTTCTTTCTATTCTAGCTTTTTTTTTATATTTTATTTATCATTAGATTTTGTTTGAATAGATATCTTAATTAAGTGCTTATGTATAAGCTATTTCTATAAACAAAGAAATTCATTTTTATATACACTATGAATTGTTTTTATCAAAAAAACCTTTTTTGTTAAAGGTGTTTGTATGTTTTATGCTTATTGTTGTTGCTTAATTTTGAAGTTTAAGTTTGACCTTCGTGATTCAGTTCCTTTTTTGAAGTTTTAATCATTCTGCATGTTCCATTTTGTGTTTTTATTAAGCTTTCACTTTCCATGATATGATAATACCTTTTTTTTTATAGGGTACTATTTATCTTTCAATTTTTATTCGTTGTTTTTTTTCTTCTATGTTGAAAGTTAGAAGCAAATGCTTGATTGTTAATGAGTAAATATGCAAGAATGAAATGCGGGTGCTGGAGTAATAGTGATCCATGGTCTTCAATAAAAGGGAAGAATAAAAGCATTTATATGAACTGAGGCCTAAAAAATGTTGCGTTGTTGGTTGGCTCATGAATGATTTAGGTCAATTGCAGAATCCGTTATTGTTTTTGGTAATAACTGAAGAAATGAACTAGGGTTTGTCTCTCGAGATACTGAATTTGTGTTATAAATGCTGTTAATTATAACTATAGTGTAAATGTATTTGCGTTCTGAATTCATTCTGTTAATGCTTAAATTTAACTGAATTGTCTACTTTGTTTACTAGATTCCTTAATTGAGCTGTGCAAGTCTATTAGGTATATATATAATATACGCATTCATGTTGATTTCAGAAGTTTTTATTTTTTATTTTCAATGCATGCCTATGCCATGTAATTATCGTCATTATTTTCAGATCTTGGCAGTTTGTATCTTTTGAAAATTTAATTAGCTTTCCACTTCTAGATTTTAACCGCACAACTTATATGCAGCAGAATGGAATTGGCTATGCAGACCACCCATATCTTAGTAACCAAAATGGTGTTATGCATGGATCTGGTATGAAGAATCCATCACAAAGGCGCCGATCCATTTCTGAGACAAAAGATGGACATTTTTGTGAGGTATTATGTTCCCTATTTATTAAGTATAGCAATCACAAGTGTAAATGACTCGGGGTAACTGGAGATTATTGAGTGAAAGTTATATATTAAGATAAAGAAAGACTGAATTCAAAATTGCGCCCTCTCTTGAATGATAAGATAAGAAAATAATCCTACTAAATCACTCTAACCACATATTTTTTTATCCCAATACTTTCAATCAAGGACTAGTTAGTTACTGTTGTAGTGTGTGTCTGCTGCTGAACAAGCATTATTAATACAGGACACTAGAGAATCTAACTTATGGAACTTATCATTATTGTGACTCTGAAAAGTGAAACATAAGTCCTGTTAAGTCAGCTGTTGGTCGCTGTGCAAGGTCGCGGCTTCTAACCCCCGACATCCCACTTGTTCATCTTTAAAGGGTGAACTCCAGCCATTAGGCTACATGACCAAAAACAAAAAGAAAAAGAAAAAGAAAAGTGAAACATAATGTTAAGATATTATAAAATATTTTCTTATAGTCTAACAAGCTCTATAATGAGCTTTTCAATTCTGGATGTTGTCTGATTTCCAGTAGTATCACCTTCGAACATGCAACTCGCAAATGCCAAATCCATTTGCACGGGTGCACTCGCATTTGCTCGTAGAGGCTGATGTGATAGCCACCCAGTTGAACTTTCAAATATAGATAGACCTGATGTATGTTATTTCTTAGAGTTGAGAAATGAAATTTATTGTTGCTTAGATCCATATGCTACGGTAAAGTGCATGGGAAAACATTTTATATTTCTTGGTAAACCAATGTGGTGAAAATAGATTTACAATTATCAGCAAGTGAAGGAGCTTTTTTTTTTGGTTAAGAGTTCAAAAGTGTCTAACCTATACTTTCAAAAGTGTCTAACCTATACTTTCAAAAGTGAAATAGCAAACACTTAAATTGAAGTGTTAATCTTAAACCTTCTTTTTTCTTCTGCAGCTCAACCCTTCTTTCCAGTTTTCTTCAACTGCAATGGAAGGAATGACAAAGTGGGATCCTGTTAGTTTAAAAACATCAGATGAGGGGCAGCATATTTACAGCCAGATGAAACTTCTAGACCAAAAGGATAGCACTGTTTCTGCACTTGAAGCAGAATTAGAGCAGGCTCATGTGCGGATTCAGGAGCTTGAGACTGAACGCCATTCCTCCAAAAAGAAACTTGAGCATTTCTTAAAGAAAGTCAGTGAGGAAAGGGCCTCGTGGAGAAGCAAAGAGCATGAGAAAATCTGTGCATATGTTGATGACATTAAATTAGATTTGAATCGAGAAAGGAAAAGTCGCCAAAGGATTGAAATTATCAATTCCAGGTTGGTTAATGAGTTGGCTGATGCGAAGTTGTTAGCAAAACGCTGCATGCAGGACTGTGAGAAAGAAAGGAAGGCTAGAGAATTGATCGAGGAAGTTTGTGACGAGCTTGCTAAGGAAATTGGAGAAGACAAGGCTGAAGTTGAAGCATTAAAGAGAGAATCTATGACTATTAGGGAAGAAATGGATGAGGAGAGAAGGATGTTACAGATGGCTGAAGTGTGGCGTGAAGAACGTGTTCATATGAAATTGATAGATGCAAAAGTTGCTCTTGACGAAAAGTATTCACAGATGAATGAACTTGTAGCATATCTGGAAACCTTTCTCAAGTCAGTAAATATAAACTCAAATGCTAAGGAGATCAGAGAGGCACAATCACTTCAACAGGTTGCAGCTTCTGTGAACATTCAAGACATCAAGGGATTTTCCTATGAGCCATCCAATCCAGACGATATTTTTGCCATTTTTGAAGAGGTCAATTCTGGTGAACTTAATGAGAGAGAGACCGAGTCATGCATTGCTTACTCTCCGGTGAGTCATGCCTCAAAGATTCACACAGTTAGTCCTGAAGCCAACTTGATAAGTGAGAATGGCCTTCAGAGACATTCTGACATATATTTAGAAGAAGATGAAAGTGGATGGGAAACTGCGAGCCATGTTGAAGATCAAGGGTCAAGTTGTTCACCCGAAGGGAGTGCCCCTTCGGTAACTAAGAAAGGTCGAAAGAGCAATGCCTCGGGGATAAGTGTGATAGAATGGGAAGGAAATGCAGGTGAGGAAACCCCATTAACTGAAATAAGTGAAGTCTGTTCGGTACCAACTAAGCCATCAAAGAGGATATCATCCATAGCAAGGCTTTGGAGGTCAGGACTGACAAATGAGGACAATTACAAGATAATCTCTATGGAGGGAATGAATGGGAGGCTTTCAAATGGAAAGGTATCTAACGGGGGAGTCATGTCTCCTGAATGGGGACTTGATAAAAGTGGACTAAGCCCCCAAGACATTATATGCCAATTAAGTTCTCCTGAGTCGGGAAGCGTGCATAACCGAGGCATGAAAGGCTGCATTCCGCGTACTGGACCGAAGGGTAGTTTGAAGTCCAGACTAATGGAAGCTAGGATGGAAAGCAACAAGGTTCAGTTGCGCCATGTTCTGAAACAGAAGATTTAGATGCGAGCTTAGCCCAAAATCGGTCACTTGCATAACTGAAGACACATGCAGCATTTTGTTTTGAATTGTGGAAGTATAAATCTGCTGCTTTGTAGAAAAACTGCTCCGAAATGATAGAGGGTCATAAATAAATTCAACTTTCCTGCCTCAGAGGTTAACCATGTTTTAATTCTTCATTTCACTCATTAAACAGATAGTATTTTCATCCTACTATGCCAATGCCTCAATAATCTCTTGGAAATAGCCAGTTTTATAATATGCTTCATTTTGTGTAGGATCTTATGAAAATTATGAGAAGCATGTTGCTTTTGTTGTATCATAAAGTCTGAGAACAAATTTGCAGGGAAATTAGATCAACATAAAGTATAAATGATAGTAGCATTTTTATCTTCACAATTTTATTTTATTCTCTTTCTTTCTGACAGGTTTCCTTCAGTAATTCTATTTGAGTTGTGTTGGAAATTAAATACGTGTATCTGCCATGATTTAGTGTTTGGTTCGTTATGTTGCAAGACTGTGTAGATGTAGCTTAGAACGTGTCATAGATCTTCTAGGAGATTAGGTATGAAACCTACCTACACAATGAGATTAGGGACCAGGACCACTTCGCTTTGTACGTTCATTGTCATTTGGAATGATGAGGACTGTTTGTTTAGAAATAAGGGTCATACTAACATCCGCTAGAGCACATAGAAAAATTTAAATATAATTAAATATAATTAAATATAATTAAATATAATAAAATTATATTTAAAATTTCAACACACGCGTTCCACAAAAATATTTCTACTTATTTATTTGTATTTTTGGAGGTTTTTTCTTTAAAATAATACTCTCTTTCTATTCCTTTATAATTGTTATTTTTATGAAAAAAATTTGTTTCTATTTAATTTTTGTTTTCAAATTTCAAAATAGTAATATTATAGTTTTGTCAAAATTACCTTTAACTATTTATTATGAGAGAAAAAAATATGTTGAAATGATTAAAATTAAGGGTAACAATAATTATTAGTTTCTTGATACGTATAAAAAGTAAAAATATAATCATTAAAAAAGAACGCAGGAAGTAGCCGTTTCTCTTTCTTTTTTATTACTGGTTGAGTAGGGTATTATACTGTATTTCTCTGTATCCGCAGTACCTTGCACTCTTGCAGTACCTTTAAGTACCTAAATCTTCATATTCATTTTTATACACTCATAAGTGGAATTAAATTCTAACTTGGTATGTTCAACACTTCAACTATACCTCGTGAGAAGGAGATAAGGGGGGAGATTAAAATACTTTCTTTTTAAGGCAATTTATTTCTTTCAACTTTTGATTTTCTATTTTAAGGGAAGGGATACGAGTTTTAGTGGAGGAAACAAAGTGTTTTAATTTATGAGTTTTTAATTAAATTTGATTTATAAAAGTAATTGAAAATAGTGCATGCAGAAGGTTTGATATAGATCAAAAATACCGTTTATACGAATCTAGCTATTGGAATTCGGATATGCAAAATAAAGTGTCTTGTGGAATGAACAACACAATAATCGAATGTATAAACTTGAATCAAGTAACACACTGTTAATCGTTTATAGCAAGTTACTGGTAAAATTATTTCCAATGGTAACTAGCAAAAATAACGAACTATGCAATTTGTCAAACACTTGGTGTGCAACAGAATTTTTCAGAATTTTCCTTTGAGTTGTGTTAATATAAAAAAGCACTTATAATCAAAACTGATTATAAGCTAATCAACACTCAATTCAAAACAAAAACAGTCACAGAAAAATTCTTACGAGTCGATCGTTTAATCAATGCTATTTGACAAATGGCTTAATGAAAAATAAAGCAAGTAAAGCGATAAGAAAAAGAGACACGAGGATTTGTTTAGGAAGTCCGCCAATCGTCCTCGTTATGGCTACGTCTCCCCCCAATTCCAATTTTGAAATTAGGATAATTTCTTACAATGCAAAAAGTCATTACAAGAGAAGTGTTCCAAGAGTAATCCTACAAACCCTAACTGTTTGTTGTTGATTCAAACTCTCCTCTTCTTTTAATCATGAACAAAACCAAGACACAATAGCATACCAATAGATTTATCAAATCTTGCTACTCCTTTGGATGCCAAACTCTAAAGCTCTTTCGTGCATGATCAATTGTATCTATTACACACAAGACACTTCAATTCACTGTTCTCGCGCTACTTCCTTGGGTATCAAACTCCAAAGATTTTTCACTAGGTCGCAATCCTCTCTTGAATGTCTTGCACAAAAACTCGCGAATTTATCAAATATTTTGGAGGACAAACACGCGGTTTTTCTGGATGAAGCCCCCTACAAATCTTAACCCAATATTCTCGGCTACACAAGAACCTTATTGAACGTTATCAAACCTCGCCTAGATAGCACTCCGACAAAAGATGATTATGTGTGATTTATCAGTGTATGCATAGGTTGGAGGTTGAAAGTGAAGAGTAAATGCAGTAAGTGTTTATAGTTTTATCGAGTTGGAATGATACATGAATAATGTATTTATAGTTGTGGAAGTTTAGATACAAAGAGGTAATTTTTGGAATTAAAAAAAATTGAAAAATTGACCCAATCAAACAGTATGTGCCAACCTAAAATATGTATGCGCCGACACATAAGTAAAAAATTAACTGTATGTACTGATCAAAAAAGGAAGATGTGCCGGCCTATGCAAGGTAGTAGCTTTTCACTTAAATACATGTGCCAGCCTGAAAATCGTATGTGTCATAAAATAGAAAAACTGAAAGTTATAGTATGTGTCGGCCTGTAAAGATGCATGTGTTGACCTATGACCCCAGAAGCTACAGACTTCAATATTGAGTTGCATGTGCCTGCCTGAAACACGTATGTGCCGACACATGCAAGAAAAAATTATGTAAAAAATTGTTTTTCAAGACTTTGGTCAATTTTAAAATTATTTTTAATGATTCCTAAGACCTCTAATATAAGGGAGTGCCACGAGACATGGATATACCGTCCAATATACAAAAATGTTAAGTTTTACTAGTTTTGACATCATACAAAACATATAATGGTGAAGTTGCACTCACATACTCCCTTTTTTTGATGATGGAAAAACTTGCGACGATGAATTTCATGTAGTTATCGAAGGCTCCCCTGACTTTGTGTTTCCCAACTTCATCTCACATATGTTTGTCCCCCTTTGACAAAATAAAAAAGAAAGATAGCAAACCGTGAGAAGTATCATGTTCCAATATGTTATACCCCAATTTCCCCCCCTAAGATCCCTCATCACTTCATATCATCACAATACATCAAGATCACACATTAGAGTTGGTTCTCATTTCTACTCTCTCTTATCTTTGAGTTTTCTCTTGAGGGATCACCAAACACCTTGAATTGTGTATCTTGTATATGTATTTTGTGTTTGTTAACCTCTAACCAAAATCCAAAAAAATGTATGTTTCCTCTCTATGCTTTGTGTATTGTAGGTATTGAGCCAATTACATCTCTCTCACCTCCTAAGCTAGGGTTTTGAAGGATGATCCTCAGTCAATTGGCTATTTAGTGGATTTTAAAGGCTTGAACTTCATGGCTATGGTTGGGGCATCAACGTTTTTTTGGTTTGAGTACTTTCGCAATTTCATTTGATCAAGATTGTTTCAAAGTTGGTTGTTGAATTCATCAAGGAACTTCATAGGTTCATGTGTTTATTCTCATGCCTTCTTCAACAAGTTTCATCAAGCATTAAGCCTCTTCATCAAGTGTGCTTCAATATAACATCATTTCAAGGTCTAATGTGATTCATCATACCTTAATTTGCAAGAAAAATTCAAAAAGAGTCAAAGTTGATACAAATGGTTTGACCTAATTTGGTAATCCTTGATTCTATGGCCCCAAGTGCATAATTATATCAATTTTTAATATTTTGAAGTGTTTCTTTTAGTCATGGACTCTTCTCATCATTTATAACAACTTCTCTTTACATGACAAGATCCAATTGTGGAAAGAAAATCATCAAAAGTTAAAGAATGTTACAAGTCACTTTTGTAATTTTTGAGTGAGGGTTTGTCAACTTCCCAAGACCATATCTTGCTAAAATTTTGAGATTTTGAAGTGATTCCAAAGCCATGGTTCTCTTAAAAGATTCCTTAACAACTTCTATTCAAATATCTAAGGCCAATTTTTAGTGGAAGATCATTTAAGTTTGAAGAAGATTACAAGTCCTTTGAAAAAACCATTGAACTCTTTGATTTGACTTCAAAAGATCATAACTTGGTCAATTTTTATCTCATTGAGCTCATTATTTTTTCACAATGAACTTAAGGATGTCTACTACAACTTTGATTCAAAGATCAAGATCTGAAAATGTGTGGAAAGTTATGGAATTCAATGAAACTTTATAGGTCATTTGTGGATTTCTCAATAAACTTTCATCCTCTTCCAAGAACAATAACTCTCTAATTGTTTATGATTTTTGAGTGATTCCAATTTCATAATTTCATTCAAGGAGTCTAATTAATTTTATATTCAAGTATCAAGAGGTATTTTTGAGTGGAAGGGCTTGTAATTTTGCAAAACATTATAGGTCATCATGAAGCTCTACACTTAGAAATTTTTTCTAAGTGTCAAAATCAGTTTGTTTTCCACGATTTCAAATGGACACAACTTTCATCTCAAATGTCCAAACGAATACTTTCTTGGCCCATTATAAAGATTGTGATGAGGTCTTTCAAATGCAACAAGAATTATACCTTAAAGCCTTTTGAGTAATTTACACCATGAAGTTGAAGATAGCAATTTGAAACTGAGTTTTCACTTCTAGTCAGATTACAAATTGGTTAATGTGACTTTTAATCACAAAATTGATGCACGTTTTTTATCTTAACATGTTTAAAAAACTTGTTTATTGTTTAAGCTTTGAAACACATCATTTGGTTGAGTTTTGAGGAATTGCACATCACACTTTCCATGCTTGCAACTTTACACAAATTCCAGCTATTTCTCATCATTTCGCACGTATGAGC